AGATCTCTTGGTAACCTTGCTTCCACGAAATGTAGCGTTCAATTGAAAAGCGACATTACTTTCGGAACGACCTAATATTTTCGCCTTGATAAAAAGTAAGTTAATAGTAAAACTGTACAATAAAGTTGGTTTTTTGACTTTCGTATTGGAAAAATCATACACTCCACATCATTTCGATAAATATCAAAAAACAACAACATAGAAACGCAGAAACTCTAAGAATCACTGATCTTGAACATGCACGTATTTTTCTGATTTTATGCTGAAAATTTCACTTGAGAAATGTACTCATACAAATGATTATCAAATTTATAAAGTTAGCTGGCTTACCCGACTCCGGTTCAGTCAATAATACAGGGGAGACGGCCCTTCTGAACCCACAGTCTACTACAGTAACCCCGCAAGTAGGACGCGCGCGCCTGCGCTGCGGCCATTGCGGACGAGTCTTCTGCGGGACGCATTATTTTCGAAAGTTTCAGCGCACCTCGAGGTTTCCCTTCCCAGCATTCTGAACGCAATAGTAATCCCCACCTTATCCATTCCCGTTTCTGTAAAGCTGTATTCGCTCTGTTTTGCTACTACGGCCTTACTTTGTCCTGATCGTATCAATCAGGTTTGTAAAAACTTGTTTTCAATTTCTCGAGTATTATATGAATTGTTTCATCTCATTTTGATTACTTTTACCACACGTCTTGTTTGTGTGCATCCTTTCTGCTTCATGCATTGTCACACGTTTGAACGTTGTTAACTGCATGATGCGTCGAGAGGAAAGCACATGCCGACCCACAATCCAAAGTACAACAAATGATTTTCTATGAACTCTCACGATACTTAATAGTTTATAGTTGGCTCTAAACGACTTTCGCTCAATACCAAGGCTATTGTTTGGTAGCATCTAGTTTTCTGCGCAAACGCTGCTCCTTTCTCGCTAATTTTTGGGGTTATGCATGGAATTTAGAATGTTCATAAGCCACTGCTTGTAGATCAAATTTCTGAGCTAGATTCTAGAACTCAGCCCTCTACAGTCACGAGACAGTGATATCCCGCTATTTTCTTTGCTTAGAATTAGGTTCAAAACTGATAAGTATTTGTATGGTTTACATGAATATGATTATGTAGCCGCTATAATGGGTGCAGAATCAAACTGTTGGCGACAAACTGCATTAACAAGAATCTCGGGTCTCGGGTTATCAACAATAATCAAACCAAAAAGTGCGTTTTCCCTGCAAGCTTCGCGTAGTTCACACATAAATGAATGTGACGATACACGATGCAGCAAGGATCGCACACATGAAGCAAAAAGAGTTACCAGCACTCACCTTACTCAGCCAAAAATAGAGTACTTCAGTAGTCGAAGCAAACACATCCCACAGTTTTTCCGTGATTGGAAGCACGTCAGTTTAGTGGAGGAGCAGCGAGTTTATTAGGTAAGACAGCAGAGTAGCAGCGATATCTCTATCAAGGGTCTGAGAAAGGGGAGGGAGGGAACTTATTACTGAGAAACTCGTCCGTTTCCGCAGCGCACCTGCTTAGGTCAACCGTTCGCCTTATCGAAGCAGCGAATTAAGACGTGACCTCTGAGACGCGCTGACCTATCGCAGCCTTCGCGAATAGAGCGGGTTCAGAAGGGCCTACACCCATAATACAGTGCTGGACATAATTATGCCACTCTAGAAATCGTTGAGTTTGAACGGAGAAAAATAGAAAAATTCGGAAAACCTCAATGAAAGTTGGACAAAATTATAAAGTACCTGTTTTTCTAATCACTATCGCATTCGTTGACTCTCAAATTCTTTTGCACAACTACATTTTAAAGTATGAAACATTTGCAACACCTACGGTCTGTCATCCTACTCAAATAGAAGCCATCACTGCATTTTTTGCTTTCAAAAGCATCAAAAGTCAATCTGCTTTAATAAGAAGCTGGTTTGAGGAGTCTCCGAGCCCTTGTTCATTTCAAATGATAATCATCGAATCTACTGACCCTTCTGGATAGATGAGATAAAGAGCGCTTTCGTAAACTTTGCGTAATCGCTGATTTTGACGGACAGACTCCCCTCATCATAGGGTTAAAACGCTTTTACCCACAAAACGCAGTTGCGATTTAGATCTGGAAAGCTTTTCACGAAATCCCTGCGAGCAGAAGTTTCGATATAATCCCAGATTTCCTTACCCTCTGTGTTTCATGTCATATTTCATCCGATGAATGGGATTAGTTAAGATTTTGAAGTTTTGAGCGTCTTCTGTTTTATCTCGTGATCTGAGTTGGCTTTTGCAGGGTGCACCACTCAACATTCAGTGGACGTCAACTGCGGCTGAACCAGAGTTCTCAACCACGAAATTTTTTCCTAGTCATGCACACAAGTTCACTATTGTGTGGCTGTCGTAATGGCTACGTTACAGTATTTTCTGTTGCTTGAAAATCGATTTTTGTGGGTTAAAAGCGTGACAGCCCTATGGTGAGGTTGGAGTTTGTCCGCTAGTATCAGCGATTACGCAGGGTTTATGGTAGCGCTCCACCTCATCTATCGAAAATGCTTACAAGGGAATGGTCAGAACTCGAAGTGGCCAATCCACACAAGCTGCACACCATTCGATGCAACTTAGAAAGCTGATTTCAAATCTGTTTTCCATATCTGCAGAGCGCCTTTGTAAACAAAGTTATGACCAGCTTTAGTGCGAGAAGAAATTGTACACAAAAATTGCGAGATTAGTCACATTATTGCTTTTTTTGCTCAATTTTAGGTACTGGCCATATGAAGTGACCTAGCTGCATGTTTTCGTCTGGCACTGAGTCAGGAATGGCTCTGTACGGCTAAGTTTGCCCTTTACACACACCATTTCTTAGCAAAATAATGGCCTTTAACGACCTATAATTCCATCTACAAAAGTGTTCTGCAGATAAGGAAGACAGATTTGGAGTCAGCTTTTTATGCTGCATCTAATGGTATGGAGCCTGCTTCAATTGGCCACTTCGAGTTCTGACCATTCCCTTGTTAGTAGCTTTTATGACCACCATTTGAAATAAACAAGGGCTTGGAGACTCCTCAAACCAGCTTCTTGTTAGAGCAGATTGACTTTTGATGCTTTTAAAGGCAAAAAATGCAGTGATCGCTTCTATTTGAGTAGAACGACAGACCGTAAGTGTTGCAAATGTTTCATATTTTAGGATGTAATCGTACAAAAAAATTTGAGAGTCAACGAATGCGATAGTGATTAGAAAAACAGGTACTTTATAATTTTGTCCAACTTTCATTGAGGTTTTCCGAATTTTTCTATTTTTCTCCGTTCAAACTCAACGAGACTGGAAGCCGTTTTGAGGGTCATGGTAGGTTGACATGCGCACAATAAAAGTTTCAGACAGATTCATTGACAAGAACGAAAATTACGACGATTTCTAGAGTGGCATAATTATGTCCAGCACTGTATTACGTTGGTGCAAAAATAATGACCATTTTGCGAACTCTCATTTTGTCGTGCTGAAACTTTTTAAGGGATTCACATTTCCTAATGCGGTAACGATAATCAGAAGCAGCAAACCTTCTGCAATGCAGCGCACATTTACTTATTACTCATATCACGAACGGGCAGAAAAATATGAATTGAAAAACAAAAAAGGTTCTTCTGCTAGAACCTTGTTTTTGACAATTCATAACTTCCTTCAAAGTCTGCTATTATGAATGTCAAGTAGCCTATCTTGTAGCCGCAAGCCAGTAGTACAAAGTACTATGGAAAGAATCCGGACAAAGAAGTTTGCGAGAAAGAAAAGAATTAAAATTTAAAATTTCTCAGATTTTTCAACATTTTTTCAGTGTGCCTCAAAGTCCCAAATATAAAATTTTCTGAATTTCTACGTACTGAACAGTTGGATGTTTTTGCAAAAATTGGTAATAGGATGTCTTAGCCCCACGCTTACAGAACTTACAGAACTGAGCAAAGCTTCGGCGATTGACGTCTTCAGAAGAAAATTATGGTCATAAAATGACCGCAACAGCTACCCATGTTTAGGCGCCAATATCTCACTCTAGATAACTTCAAAGAATACAGTTAAGAATTCATAATGTAGACAATTTCCATTACATTCAATAGCTAAATTTTCGAAGAAATGCCATTGACGCAGAAAAGTGATGCAATGAAATTCTAAATTTGGATGCTTTATTTGAAGTTCAGTAACTTTATAACAGATGATGACGAAAACCCGTTTCAAACATTGTTAGATAGAGCATAAAAACAGCTTTTCGAGGGTACACTACATCTGTTGTAAAAAGAAGTATTGATGGGAAAAAGTTGCCCTGAAAAAACGCTTGGAAAATCGGCCATTAATTTTGCACCAATCCAATATATTCGTAATCAGCGTGCTCATTCAACTCCCTTCCCCCTGTGCCAACTCCCAATCCCCTAGCTCAACTTGCAAAGGAGTTGGTAAAATCGATATCGATTGATAACGGAAAATAACCTACGACACCCGCCCCGACTGGAAGCATATGTGCGCAAAGTTACGGCCGTGCAATGACTCGATAGTGCTTACTTTTGAGATACCCTTTTTGAAAACACATCAATACGGTCTCGTCATTGCGGACCACGCGAAACCGCAAAAGTTGCCCCAGTACAAATCAGGGCCAGGGCTTTTCTAAAAGTCGCCTCTCGCAACTTTTTAGCAGCGCGTCCTAACCGCGGCATACACGGCCTGTGCGTAGGGTCGATGAATTATCTACAAAAGTAATTTGAGGGGCTTAGGGGCATAGTTCTCTATCTTCTTTTGTAGAGTTCTTCGTAGATTAATTTCTGCAACGCTGCCGTGTATCATATATCTATCATAACGTTTAAAAAAAACTCCTTTGTAAATCATGCTAACTCTTACCTGCAGTACTTACTCTACACGTACACTAATCAAATCTTAATCAGATCACCGCCAAATAGCAGGAACCAACGTTATAGGTGGCCCAAGTCGAGAAACTGTTAAGAACGCCGCCAAGTTTGCGGTGTAGGAAGCTATAATAATGACACCGAAGATCCACCAGGTAGCAGCCGCAAGCATTCCAGATATGTTCTTTGGGGCTTCTCCTCCTCCTAAAAGTGTATGTGTATGATCATGACTCAAGCTAATTATTTCATACAGTAACCTTTTTTTTCAGATAGTACAGTCACCTTGCAACAGTTCTCGTACATATGTGAAAGTTCGAAAAGCAAATTCACCTTTGGGAGTCAATGACGTCATACAGAACCATAAACACTCCCTGAAAGTGAACGAAGGGATTTTCCCACAGTCAAGGTATCTGCAAACCACTAATATGGATTTTGCTTTGATTGATTTCATATAAGTTCACTTTCTTCTATTGTTGGAATACGAGTATGGACTGAATCTGTTGAAGAGCCATAGAGTGGTGCTCATCACGATATAAGCAGCCACTGTGCACAGCCATACGGGCCATTTTAGCACCTTAAATGATTTCAACTATTGATGAGGTTTGCCATGTGTTCAGAAGCTACCTTTGTAAATTTGAATAGTGAATGTTCTACATCAGGTTTCCTCATCAAAATTGTAGTACCAACAAGATCGTAGTAAGGCACCGTGAAGTCAACAACATTCTCGCGTTCCGCGTTCACGGTAAGAGGAGCCAGAGCAATGTCTGCCGATCCCGACACTTGAGAGCATTCGTTTGATTAAATGGGGGAGGATAATTGAGGAATAGGTCAAGAAAAATACTGAGAACTCATTGTATCTTTGCATTTTAAATTACATATGAGAAACAGCGTGCTTGGCATTTCATAAGTCCATAGAGTTTTCACAAATCAACAAAATGACAAAATTCTATCAAAATCAGTCCGTAATGTATCTTCCGTCGTCGTCCACAGCCTTCTGCCATTTTGATATCAAATATCCGTTTTTTATAAAACTCAGCGTCTCAAAAATGGGTCTAACCAGCGCCTAATCATTTTTTAGAATCGCAAACACCGTTCATATAATTTGCGATAGTGTTCTATAATTTGCGATAGTACGAAATAGAGAGCCGTCTATTGAAGCGAGACTTCAGGAGTACACTTAGACTACTCCCAGTCAGGTCTTGCAGGACAGTTTCGACGTTCGTTTTTTTAGCAATTTAGTCTTTTTTGTCTTAATTGACGTGCAAACGCAAATTCGATTCAAGGAAAAATCTAGGCAAAAACTCATTTTTTTATGAGAAAAGTAGAGCAGATGCCAAAAACGTTTTTAAGCCTTTTGGTTTTTATCTTTGAAAGCAAAGAAATCAAAGTACATCGTCTTTTCGTCCAAATTGATAAGCTTAGTATGAAAAACAGATCAATTCTTCCCTATAATTTACGCACCTTGCCGCAAATCATCTGCTTCTCCGATAAGAATGAAAACTCCATGAACTTATGTAAGGACCTAACACCTTTATAGCAAAACGAATTAAAATGGTACAGAACCTACTTAAGGCACCAATAAGCCCATTCCAGTTTCCATTTCGATCAACTGAGCCGAATGATCCATCCTCTACCTCATAGATAGTATAAGTGAAGTTTAACTGAATTGAACTGTTTTCATGTACAAGTTTATGAAAAATGCGAAAACCTCTTCACGGATTAGCTCGATGAGGTCAATGCAGTACCCTTCGTAAGGCTTCTTAGGATCTTCACTGACTTGAACGAACGGTGGCAGCTAAAATTACTCTATATCAGATGCATAAAACAATTTAAATCACTGAGTTTACTTCAGTCAGTGAAGATCCTTCCCTGCGCAACTATCATGACTTATAATAAGCGGCTTAATCTGAAGTTGTGTGGAGTTTGTCCGTTACGAAATTACAGTGAGGAATGATCATGACTTATAATAAGCGGCTTAATCTGAAGTTGTGTGGAGTTTGTCCGTTACGAAATTACAGTGAGGAATGATTTACAATACCATCATGACTTATAATAAGCGGCTTAATCTGAAGTTGTGTGGAGTTTGTCCGTTACGAAATTACAGTGAGGAATGATTTACAATACCAAACAGCATGTGAGGTTAAGATAGTGGTATGGTTCATTTTTAACTACGGCTCTCACGTTGCAGTCAACCGAACATGACTTGAGAGACAAGCTCTCAGAAAGTGAGTTTACCACGGTTCATAACGGCCAGTGCGAACCTCTGCGAAGCAGAGGTGAAGCACTGGTTTACAATAATAAACAGCATGTGAGGTTGAGATAGCGAGTATGGTTCATTTTTAACTACGGCTCCCACGTTTCAGTCAACCGAACAATGATTTGAGGGACAAGCTCTGAGACAGTGAGTTTACCACGGTTCATGATAGCCAGTGCGAACCTCTGCGAAGCAGAGGTGAAGCACTGGTTTACAATAATAAACAGCATGTGAGGTTGAGATAGCGAGTATGGTTCATTTTTAACTACGGCTCCCACGTTTCAGTCAACCGAACAATGATTTGAGGGACAAGCTCTGAGACAGTGAGTTTACCACGGTTCATGATAGCCAGTGCGAACCTCTGCGAAGCAGAGGTGAAGCACTGGTTTGTAGTATAACGGAATAAGATGCACATCGGTCAGTTACATTTACTCCAAGATTTTCTGAATTCGCCTACTATCGTCTGTTTGATGTGCACCATGTGTAAGGGGAAGAATATAGATCTATTCGTACAGGATCCCAACAGAGAGAGCGATGTTGAGATCTCCCGGTGTAAAACTTATGTGAATGAAAGCTGTGCGGAACTTTTTTCTGAATTAGCTGGCACCGTGCCAACTGTGTGCCAGCTGAGCTGGCACCGACCCTTTGCTTACGTAAGTTTCCATACTTTTTTACATGAATTGTATCTACATTGTAAAGGTTTACCTACAACGAAAAAACGGTTTCATAATGTTTTTTTTTTCGACGTTTTATAGCCATCTGAAAATTTCTCGGTCTGCTCCGCACTCGAAAAATCTGCTCCAATCACAAAGCGCGCCCTTAGTAAGTGCAGAACAAGTCAAAGCGGACTCGTACGAAATTTTCAAGATTAGAGGGGACTTCGTTTTGAAATTTTCCTAGTGCAGCTCGCCGAGCCCTGCATACACTATCTCGACAAGTTGTCATACGACTGGCACGCAAAACGCGATCTTGCTCATGCGTCATCTACAAAAATCCAAATTTTTTTCATTGAGTTGTAATTGAATGTCTTGATTACATCGCACACATAACGATATGTAAGAATTCATAGTATAAACGGATATAGACTAGGAGGAGCACAATGCGGAGTATTGTGGAAAAATTATGTGGCTGAAGGTTGTGGGAAGGTTTTTCCTAAAAAATTTCCCACTACCACAAAATGATAACTTGGCTCGTTTGCAACGCATAGATAATGTGGCGCGAATTTTCTTGTGCACACGCGCAGATGGACTAAGGAACAAGGTCTGAAGAATCATGAATTTCATATATAAAGCTGAATGTCTGTTTGTATGTGTGCCTGTCTGCGTGTCTGTGTGTCTGTATGTATGTTCCGAATAGAAGTTTTTATTTCTGAACCGAGCCGGGACCAACCTTTGAACACATACAATTAGGGGCAGGGCGGGTAGGCAGGCAGGCTACTCGCCCTGCCCCTTATGGGCTACTTTTCGTTATCAATAGATATCGATTTTTATCGATTTCTTGTAAAGTTCGAGCTACGGGGCGAGTTGGCACTGGTGGTAATCGAGCATGCTGATTACGAACACGATGCTAGTTTTTACAATTATCCGTTACTTTTGTCGGTTTTATCGATTTTTTGGAAAGTTTGAGATAAGTGTCGCGGATTGGACCCCAAGCTCCCAACGTCAGTGGTATCTAGGCTCTCCTGCATCGGCGAGGGGAGCCAGGGGTCCCTTCCGTGAAAGGGTGAAACGACTATTGTGGTGGCATACCTGTGTGAACGCTACTAGTGCCTGCCACATGGGAACTCTATACACACGTAGGGGCCCTTGCCACCAGCCTGCTTAGTAAGTTACTCGACACCTGCGACTCAATCTTTTCTCCCAACTATCGACGGTTGGGGCGTGTACTTACAATCACGGCACTACCCGGGGTCGTGCCAGCCTTCCTACAGATGTTTCCACTAGGCTAGATTATAAGACACAACATTGATGACACAAATATCCCCGGAGCCACAGCCGAGCTGTGGCTCACCGCTGCAGTACAATTCACACGAGTAAAATGCCCACCATTTATCCACAACTAATCCCTAGACTCAAACACAATGGGGTGGAGCACAACCAGCCAAGATCTTACAACCCTAGGGGCCAGCAGTATCGAAAACCCCCCGAGGCGGTGTCGCCGGCATGTGCCAGGTGCGATCGCGCTCGGGGTTATCTCGTTAGCGCGGGGTGCCAGTCCTCCGTGGCGTAGATGGATGTGACGCGTGAGATGGGATTGGCGCTGTATCGATCGATGGCATTGAGACGAAGATGGAACCCGACCGCTCACGATGGCGACAGCAGCGTAGACTGACTACGTGACTTAAACGAAAGCTGCGCAGGTGAGAGAGGTGAGAAGCGGGACAGCGCGAGGACGGCGTTTCAGGACCCCTTCGCACCGCGGCGGCGGCCTCCTTTGAAGGAAGTCGCGAATCCGCGACAATAAGGGGCTGGGAGTTGGCACAGGGGGGGGGGGTGAGCATGCTGATTACTAGCACAGCGGGAATAGAGAATTGGCATGTAGAAGTGGGCATAGGGAAAGGTTGTGCAGGGATAGAGACGAGACCTTTACTACAATATTTTGACACGGCCGGGCGGAGCCGGGTAAGCCAGCTGGTAACTTATATGAACAAAGAGTGCTTATTTTTCCAAATTAGGTGGACGGACGCGCAAGGACGAGGTTGTAAGGTTCGACCTACATATAGCAAGAAAAACGATCGAGAAGTGGGAAAACTTACGCCATAGGGCAGGGTCCTCGACCTGCTCGAATTCCTGCTATGCGACAGAGTACGCATGCCGCCACAGTCAAAATCGTATCCGCAGTGACTCTGCGTCTCAGTTGGCGGGAGCCGTCTGATTTCAAATTGTAAGGCTTTGCAAAACGCATGTTCTCGCCTTCTAATGTAGATTTTCGGATTCACCGTTGCGGATAACTCCCGGTAAGTAGATTTTCTAAGAATCGAGTTTTTACCCGGATGCTGCCTTTCATGCCCACCTGAGTTCAAAGCTTCCATTTCACGTAAGCTTTCCAAAATTTTTACATAAATCTGCCCAAAATCTAGTATATAGTGACATTCTGGTTCAAAAACTCCTCCTCTCCTCCTTGTTAGGACCAAGAATAGCAACGACGCCGATTCTTTGGAGGAAGAAAGGGCGCTCCAATCGAACAGCCTATGCAGCTGGCGGGATCTAGTGAGAATCGTGAAAATTGGTAATGGCAAGGGCGAATTCGCTTCACCGATGTCCATTTACCACTCTCGTGCTGGGCCCTGTTTGCAAAATATGCATTGATTTTGCGTCGGCTTAATCGTAAGCATTTATGAACGTCATCACCAGCATCAACAACAACAACAACGTCTGCCGAAGTCACCCGTTTTTGCAATTTTTACACTTCATAAAATTATATGGCGTTTTGAATTGGCGCACATGGGATACTATGATTCACATCTCAATAGCAATCATGAATATCTATCAATGATATTTTTTATGCTCCAAAAATTTCAATATGGGTCATGATCGTATTACTCTGCGTTTTCCCAACATCATCTTGAACAAAACTGTGATTGTGCCTCTAATGCTAGTCTTGAAACCACAAAGGACCAGCCCTGAAGCCTCCATCCGCGAAGAGTAAACATGCAGAATCGGACATACGGCACTGATTTGTTCCAAGGGAATTTCCTTACGTCATCAAACGAAGAGCTTACAAGTGTTGTAGCAATCCGGTATTCTTTGATGCTCTTGACATCAACGTTCAGGCTTTCGTATAGAGTTGTAATGTTACCCAATATAGTCCAAGAAGCGATCTGAATATAAAGTATTCTCAGATGCCAGAAGCTAATAAGCTGCTTTCAAGTGAACCTCTTTGTTGAACGTCTCTTCAGGGTGATCGCTTGTTCGCTCAACTCTGTAGACTTTGACTCGTACGTTCTGAGCAAAGAAATTGATATCACTGTTTGGTATTTGTTTTATATAATGTGTTGAAATACACACCTCGTAAAAAATCGAGTCACCAAGCCGTTCAAAAGCCCCATACTGCGGCACGGGGCTATTGAGCACAGTCAACACATCTGTGAATGAATAGGCAGCCTCTTTTGTGAATTTAGAAGAAAGGGGTTTGCTTGATCGGTTTTTCGTGTTTATAAGAGTTTCGAAGGCGAAACTCATAACATGGAAGTAAAATGAGACTTCAACCTGCGTTCACATACACACGACTACAACTCATGAAGAAAATTTTTCTCTAATAACAAACCTCTTCCGAACCTTTTATAGAATAATTGAACTCTAAATTAAACTCAGAATCAACGAGAAACTCCCTCAAAGCGCGCATGTCGGAAGCTTTTCCAGTAGCATAAGGTCTGATCCAGAACAAATTTATAGAGGAGCACTCTTCGCATCGAAAAGGCGTTATGTCCTGCAAAATAAAAAGCGATCACACCTTTCTTTGTGCGGCGATCTTGAGAGCTTTCTTCCATTAATGATTCATCAATAAGTCCGCTTTATCTAACAATTTTCGTTTCCGGATTTTTAAAAAAATTGCATTCTGTGCGCTACATTGTTGGGGTTGCCTACATAGCAGTTGTTCATGCCTTATTGTAACACGCTCAATCTCGCATCAGTAAAAAATTAATATCTCCAAAAATGTCATTTCGCACGGGACATTTTTCTTTTTGCTGCGCTTTTTCGGCAAAAACATTGTGTGACGCCAAAAAAAAACGCCACAGTGTGGCACATTCTTTCGAAATCACATTGTGACGTTTTTTTTTTGCATTTTCATGCGAGACTCAAGCCTTCCACTGTAAGGTGGTGGACTATTGCTATGCATAAAATTTTCACACATTTTGGGCTAGCTAGAAGTCTTCCGCAGTTCTTTAACATCAAACACAAAATCGCAGTGGAACGCCGTTTCTGGAAAAACGAACTAATGAATTTAAGTTCAGTAATTTAAGAATCTGAATGCTCGAAATACGTGAGTTTTCCATCAAGCTCTTACACCCTGCTTTCCCGGCAAACTGTGTTTGTAATGCCTACGTTTGCCTACGAATTAGAATCAAAGAGGATTTGTCAAGTTGTAGAGATGGACGAATAACCGCATGCTCTTGTTTTTTCGCTTTTTTCCTCCTTTGTTCAAAAGTCTTCAAAGGTTCTTGTTTTTTTGGTCAAATTCAAAACTAGGTCGTCTGCTGTGTCGACTTTTGAACCTAGTTAGATTTGATTTGAGCAGTATTCGTTGAATTTCTTTGAAAGGAACATCGTTGGCACTACCGTTTTTCTCAAACATCATCATTGCTCTATTCCGCCATAGAGTGTCAGTACCAGGGGCTTATGCGAATTGGGTCCAAGCCGCCCCCCCCTCACCGTATCTATAAGATCATACAAGTTCAGTACTACATTACAATTGGGCATGTTCAATTGAATGAGTGCTCAAAAACTTCTAAAAAAAGTTTTTTTTCACATGTCTCAATGCATTTGAGAGCAAAAAATGATTGATTCTTTAGTCACTTTACTCTTCACCGAGCTTGTTTACATGGTTGGTTGCCCTTCGTCTATATTTTTCCAGAAGCAGGATGTCTGCTATTTTTAAAAAGACTTTGCCTTTTGTCAGCTTCCTTGCAAAGGGCCTTGTCGGAGCCTTGATGAAGACTGGCGAAAGATTCTTCAGTTGTTCCGTTTCTGTCCTGCCGAAAGCGGGTGCAGTACATTTCCTCTTCAACAGCATGACATCTCGAAAGGAAGGAAAAATGTTGTAACATAGTTGTTCCCCAATGAAAGGGGCAGGGTGGATAGTTGTTACAAAGATCCGAGTAAAACATGGGTAATCTGTTTCCACTCACCCTGGAGCAAGTCATGTTAGTCGATACTGCAAGAAGCTTCCTAATATTGATCTTAAGTAAGCTTCGGCCGATATCGTGCGCTTTACTCTTCTCCTTTTCAGGTCTTTCTTCATTTCTCTTTTCGTGCTCGGATGCCATCTAGCTGCCTACGACTCGTGTTCATCCACATTTCCTCATCCAGTTCCAGAATTCCAAAAGTTGCTTTCTCGTACTTCACAGGGCCTTAATGCATGTGAGTACGCGCAGTATCTCCATATCCGTTGCTTTAGCTGTTTCTCTTGTCAGCCAAGTGAATTCAAAATTGGCGTGCCTAAAACTCACATCTTAATAACCGTAAATCTCAACTTGCATTATTAGTTGTTCAAGAGGACCGATTAGTGACCAAAATAATACTGATAAGAATTTCTGATTGGCTTCTCTATGTTTCGTATGTTCCTGGAAACAATTCCAATATAAAACACGGCCTTCATTAGGTTGCCTCTTTACTTCGGTCCCCAATGACGTTGCAGGTTTTTCCGTGTTTGCACCATCAGCCTTTCAATGGTTGCATCCGCGCAAGTACGATAGTCATTGTCCATACTGCTGATTCATCCAAGATCAAGGGTCTTTGTGATCAGTAAACAACTCTATTTACTTCCAAGACATAGGTGGTTGGGCTGCTTTCGTAACGGCTATCGCAGACTAATAATTGAAAGCTACTTTAAACCTGCTACTCTCCATATCCACTCGCGAATAAGTTGCAACATCTGGGTGAGACAGAAAATCCGCTAATGGGCTCTGCTTGCTTATCAAGGTAGGCGGCTTCTTCTGTGATTTGCGAAATCCGAACGTCATGTAACCTCGCGACTGGCTGAGACCCCTTTAAAAACGTGGTAGATTTGCGGCAAATAAGCAAGCATGTTTTGGTTGAACCCATACCAATACTTCACACACATTCTCTTCTTTACGAAGCTCTTATTTATTTTTCTTGCCCTTCCCTTTTCGTGCCTTCCCGTTAGTGTGCTCTCTACCAGATGGATTTACGTCTGTGCATAGCTGCTGTTGGCTATTCAAGGCACTGCGCAATCGCAATCAGTTTTAAAGTCCAAAAATTGGAAAATTACAAGTGATTATAAAAGTGTTCAGAAAAATTACTATTTTTAAACTGATAAACATTCGCGAGAGAGTAAGCAAGCGGCAGAGGCACGTTAATTTCAGATGCAATTTTTTAACTCTTTTTAGTAGCGTACGCGACGTAATTCTCATTGAGAGTACATGAACAGTAACTGTTCGAGTAACTAACAACTTTTGAAAAATCTTGCTTCAAACTTTTAGAGTCTCACCACACTACTAAATTACTCTTTCAAAGTTGGCTGATTTTTGCCGGGCTTTGCAAGTTTATCACTAAAATCATTATGACATTTCAACCCAATTTTAGAATGCCTTCCCTATGTCTTCGTGCAGAGTTGAAACCAACTTTATCGAAGCCATTAGCACACATAAATTCGAGAAGGCCCAGAAATGAAAAACGATAAAAGCGCAGAAAAGTTGAAGCAGCTCATAATTCCGACACATTTCAACCCAAAAATCTGAGTGTGGTAGCTAACGATGCTCGAAAATGCTGCACAATTAGAAGATTTTGAGCTTCTAATGCTTCAAACCTGAAATTTAAGGTTGATTTGCTACTCATTTATCTTTAGACGGTAAGAGTTTTGAGGAAGTATCTTGTAAACTTTTTCATGCTCAAAATTTATTTGAAGAAATCTCTCATAGTGAGACATTTGTCTGACCTATTTCGCAGCTCTAAAGTATTTGAAAAAAAATGAGGTTGCAGAAAGAGAAGATGAGGACATGAGGCTTCAGTATTTAGCATTGTTGGTCCGAGTGATCAATTCATTAGGACTGCCAGAAAAACTACCGATTAAGTGGCGTACGGTTACGGAAGGCAAAACAAAGTACAGAAAAAATATTCTGTCACGACTCAACTCACCTTTGTAAGCACAACCAGAATTGGACTTCCGTCGGTTTGACTTAGCTGTAAATAGTGTAAGTAGTGTAAATGGACCAGTTTTACCCTGCATACAGTTTCATGACAATAAAATTTGTTGTCATCAACACATCTACAAATGGATAATGGTAGGATAGTCCCGTTAAAGATTTCAATGCATGAAATTCATACGCCATCTATTTGAAATTGTTTAAGAGGCAAACGGGACTTTATTTTAAATATCTCGCTGAATATTGGGAGTACTGAAAATTATGTAGCTGGTGTAATTAGCTGGCTTTGCCCGGCTCAAGATGGGGACGACAGCAGAAATCTTAAAGCACTTTATGGACGCTATCGTAGCGAAACAAAGTAGCATAATATGACAACAACACCCGAGAATCTTACAGATAAGTCAGCTTCTGACCCAGATAAGTTCGCCTTCAAGTAGTGTCAGATAAGTCAGGAGTTATTTGGAGGCGAACTTATTCAGCGGGGGAGGGGGAGCTGCTATCTTTGGGATTTTAGGGTAGTTGCATCAAATTGCGCTGACACCAGTCGCACCATAAAATTTGTTTTGCAATATACTTTGCAGTTTTTAGACTGGGAACATGGGAGCTACATTTGCAAATGCTTTTTGCCTTGCTTTGCTGATAGAGATTCAAAATAGGATTTACCGCTTTTGCTATATGATTCGATAAAAATTGTTTGGCAGTGCTGATAAGCCTTTATTTCTCTACTTAGGTTGCAAATAATCAATAAATCAATGGAGGGGCCCAGTGAATTGTCGCAAAAGTAGCTTGCTTTTGCGCCGTGCCTCATTTATAGGGAGCAAATTTCAGCCTCATCGGTTCACAACAAAAGAGTTTATAAGCCACATACATACTAACTAACAGATTTACAGAGTTTAAGTTTCCATATATAGATTCAAAGAAGTGTATGCTAGCTTAGATTTTCGTCAGAATTAGATGAGATTAAACACATTGAAGTTATTTTGAAAAATGATAGTAACCAACAAACCTCTTCTACTAGCATTTCTGCTATGGCTGTTTCAGCAAAGATAATGACATACTTCGAAGAAGAGATATTATTGACTTGTTCAAGACGTTTAGCTGGATTTTGCTCAATCTGGACAAAATTGGTAAAAACTGGTAGCCAACCAAATACCTCTCGCACATTTTCCATGTCTGCAAAAACACATGTCAAGTCACTGCGTAATGAATGCAATTGCAAGTACCACACGGTATTTACTCTTTGCAGGGTCAGACATGGTCAAATATTCAGACCGATCTAATATCAGGGGCCCCTGTAATCTCCATGATCGTGACGTACGAGATCGCAACCTAAGCTCAAGCTCAGACAGTCGGTGCCGTAGCTCCGGAGGACAGTCGAAATCTGGCAGAGCTGCGGAGACCCAATTGACCATTGAGAGCGGGGCGAGGGGGCGGTCCCTTCTTGTGGGGTCACGGTGACGTCACAAGCAGCAAATGGGACCCCTCTCCGGGACGCGCGAATCTCTGCTCCGGAGGTGCGCCAGATTTGGAGGAGCCCCGGAGCAGAGATTTGCGCTCCGGAGGTACGCCAGATTTGGGACACCTCCGGAGCACAAAATGGTTCAGGAGTACGAGTGGCAAACCCCCGCTGGGGAAACCCCGCGGCTCTGCCATTTCTGCTCCGGAGGTATGCCGTCGACTGTCTGAGAGATAGCTTTATTCCTGCTCAGACAATCGACCGGACCCCTCTGCCGGACAGTCCGAATCTGCCAGAGTCGCGCCGGACCCAGTTGACCAATGAGAGCGGGGCAAATGGGCGGTCCGTCGCGGTGACATCACTGGCAGGCAAATGGGACGCTTCTCCGGCCCTGCTGCAAAGGTACGCCATTTCTCCGGCGCGGCTCTGCCAGATTTGGAAGAGCCGCGCCGCAGAAAATGGGAGGGGTCCGGAGCAGAAATTGGGAGGTATCCGGAGCAAAAAATGGAAGGTATCCGGAGCAGAAAATGGGAGGTCTCCGGAGCAGAAATGGGAGGTCTCCGGAGCAGAAAATGGGAGGTATCCGGAGCAGGCTGCGTATCGATTTGGCGCGTAGCAAGCAAACGTCTAACTCCACGGTGATGAGTCCTCTGTTTACCCTCTTTCTTCATATTTTAGTCGTTTTTTTCGATTTTGTTGTTTCTCCGCGTTTCTTACCGTTTTTTCTTTTCTGCGTTGCTCTTCGTCGCGTTGGCGTTTATGTTGTTGTAAGTTCCTCGTTTTCAGGTTTGTTTCAAATTTTCGTGCGGATGCACTCAATCACTTCAGTGTTTGGCTCTTTTCGACTTGAGACATCGTTGACTACTGATGGAGTAGTTTTTGTGATTAATTCTGGATTTTCGAAACAACAACAATTTTCGAAAGTATATAATTCGAGTAAAGTCCAAATGAAGTTTTCTTCCCATTTCAGTCAGAAAGCTTGCTTTTTAGGTGCAGTGGATTTAGCGGTATTTGGAAGGTATATCCAAACTTTTTCGTACCCCTCAATATCGATACCTTATCAGGTGGCTGTATTCCGTGGATTATTGAATCCGCAATGATAGATAGTTTGGGCAGTCTGAGTCCACTCATACTCGATTTCATCGACTCGATGAGAGAAAACCTCGAAAGCGATCTGGTATGCAGTTTTTACGTTGAAATGTAGTCCTTGATAACAAGCAAGATTATATCAGGATCGTGACATAGCAGTGGTGACGATGATGCGGCTACACTATTCCAAACTTATTGCTGTGGTCATTGATAGTGTTAGTCCAGAAAATCATGGCAGTCTCATTCCGGATGAAAAGAAGCAAAGCCTATTTTATCTATTCATCGGCTGGTGCAGCAGAACGATAGCAGCAGATAAAAGGAATAGGGAAAATTATGTATGTTTTCATGTTGCTGTTCTATGCATTGCTATTTATTTAATCTTTTTCATTAAGGTTGGTTCATACGTGGAGCAAAAGGCGGCCTTAGCTATGACACGTCTACTCAGCTGTGGTAGAATATTTGAAGCTCAGAAATCTATTGGTGAAGATGGTTATTTATATGGCTGGTTGGACAAACTTGTGTCAAGTGCGAATACTACGGTATGTTTATGTTGGAAATCACTTTTATGGTCCTTTTTTTCTTGTTTATCTTTCATAATATGCTCTTTCTTGTTTGAAATTGGTTATATCTCTTCGATGGTGAAAGTGTTTTTCAACTGAATCGTCTTATTCAAGAGTATCTGAAGTAGTACGGAATATCACGCAATCGAGCCACCTGCTAGACTGGTTAATGTCTTAGTGCTATAGTCAGCCAAGTGCTGTTGCTGCGAAATGCTTTCGAGCTCTCGTGCTTGTGTTCTCACTGTATTATAGATCCCAACTGGTCATCGACTTGGAACAGTAGTCAAAACCAGGCGTAGAGGGATTGCGCAGCTGCTGTGACTGCACAAACTTCGCTAAAAATGTCTCGCTGAGGTTGTCTTTCAGAAAGGATGGAAATCAGGTGGTGCGCACTTGCATATGCTGAAACTGAGAATTTAAAAAAGTACTCAAAGTTGAAGTTCAGTAATCGTAATGAACCAATCACGATCACAATTGGGATTTTTATGTGTTCGAGGTTGTTCTTCTGCATAGCTATGATTGTTCGCAAAACAAAGCACAAAAAGCACTTTTTTCAGACAACTTTTCAAAATCTAAGTTCAAGTTCAGTAATATGTTCAAAGTGAATGGTTAGATAACGAGTTCATGCCAGTACACATAAACATTTTATACGACATCACTAATCATGTATGGATATGTGACTGACAAGGTCGCGCCAACAGGTATATAGCTTGTAGCCAAGATGTAGGTTGGAACCTTAATGTGCCTGCGGCATTCTGCTCGAAGGAAACCTTTATGAGGTCGTGACCTTGCAACGCGGAAGAGGGAAAACATGTAATCGAGTACATGCACCGTGTTCAAATACAGGCAAGTCTCTAGTTTTATCCCTCTGATGTAAGTTTGAGAACAGGCGTCTCCAGTTCAAACCGCTAAATTCTGATGTTTAAAGTTTGTTCGTAATTGTGTCCTGGCCTTTTACGCAAAACAGACTTTGTCAATGAAATGGAGGACCTCGAAAACATAGAAATCCCAATTTTGATCGTGATTGGTTCATTATGATTACTGAACTTCAACTTTGAGTGCCAGTAGTTACAAATTCGCAAGCCATTGTTTCCCTATGGATCAGCAGGCTGTTTGTCAGAACCTTGCCAACTCGTACCCTCATCTCACTATCACAATATTCAGCGGTAGGGGATTTTTTGTGTGCTCATGTGTTTGGTATTCTTTGCTCTTCATCCGATTTTCAGAGGTTTCTTGCCGTCTTGAAAATGCTCGTAGTCAGAACCAGACGTACCTTATCGCTTTACTGCTTTACTGCTTTGTTGTCCGTTTTGTAGCTGCTAAGTTTTGTTTTGCAATTTGCAGGAGATTGTTTGCAGTTAATTTGAAATAAATGTCTTGTTTCTTCATTCTTCTATCTTCTATCCACAAACGCTAGGGGTGAGAGGGAGGGGGTAAAGAACGGGGTTGAGGGTTGCGCTGAACTCTTACCCGGGGGGGGGGTCGTATTCGGCTAATTTGGGTGGGGTTTAGAGACATAATTGGGGTTTGGAGCTTAATTAGGGCTAATTACAGTATGCCGCGGCAGACTTGCGGAGCAGTAAAATGGCAGGGCTCCGGAGCAGAAAATGGGAGGTCTCCGGAGCAGAAAATGGGAGGTATCCGGAGCAGAAATGGGAGGGCTCCGGAGCAGAAAATGGGAGGTCTCCGGAGCAGAAATGGGAGGTCTCCGGAGCAGAAAATGGGAGGTATCCGGAGCAGAAATGGGAGGGCTCCGGAGCAGAAAATGGGAGGTATCCGGAGCAGAAATGGGAGGGCTCCGGCGGACGAGTGGCAGACCCACCGCTGGGGAAACGCCGCGACCCTGCCATTTCTCCGGCGGAGGGGTCCTATCCGCTGTCTGAGTGGTCATCCATCAACTTACCAGTTGAATCAGTCTACTTTTCCCGTATAATCGCGTCAAACACCGCTCGCGACCTAAGTTTGTGACAGACTCGTAATCGTTAGACGTGTGTTATATGTTAGACGTTATGTTAGACGTGACTATCAGTGTGCGATATACTCGTGATATAAAGATAAAGAATAGATTAATGGCTGGGGGAGTGGAGCTGACCTCGAGCTTAGATTGCGACCTCGTCACTCCAAAAATTACCACGGCTCTAAGTTAAAATAAAGTTCGGTCACTTTTGCGGCTGCTGCAGCTGCAGACAAATTACTGTCCGATTTTTGTGTCTAGGAAAACAGTGAGTATTGAAAGTTGAACTTTTGAATAGAGTTTATTTTCCAATCAAGAAAAGGGACAAAAAGTGAGATATCTCAAATTTTTCATTGTGCACAAACATTATTTCAAAAGCAGATCACAATTTCCATTGTCACTTGTTAAATAGAGAAAATGTGTTTGTATCTAAATATCAAACTACAATACCGCTCATAATTCGTCGAAAAAGTGACCTTCACTTCGGCGGAGTGCACCAGAGGGTGCTGCAGTGCGCCGAAGTGCAGCAGAGTGCGCCGGAATTCACGTCATATTGCCAAATTCATAATGAACGAATTCCGAATCCATTCCGAACCCAAGAACACCGCTAAACCCAGCTCGTTGAGGCGCACCTTCCGATATATAGAATTGCGCAGTTTGTCAGGGTACGGTCATACGATAGGCAGTAAGTTTTCTCCAATTTCTCCAGGTTTCTTCTTAGATGGGTTACTCATTGTGCTGAAAAGAACAAATTACATTGATTTGTTGATAGTGGCATACAGTAGTCTACTGTAGGACCACAAAGTTTTTTGCTTAGATTTCTTGTAAAATCTGCTCAAGTTGTTTATTTAATGCCTGATTGCGATTATTACATTCATTTGCTGCTTAAAGGGCAGGGCATACTTCTCGCTAATTCACCCGCGTCGCGATTTGGCAATATTCCAACTGTCCATAACTTACCGTAAGCACGTTTTAAATGTACAGAAAAATGTCACTTTATCATTCCCCTTAAGTTATACATACTATACATGTGCAGTTTGCTAGTGTTGGATATAAAGACTTCTGGAGAATTGCCAAATCGCGTCGCAACTGCAACCGCTTGAAGTAGGCCCGG